TCCTTTACACACTCTTTATGATCTCCCTGAAACCTAAGCATGGACCACTATTGTTGGTTGAATTGTGTCCCCCAAAAAGATATGTGGAAGCCCCAGCCCTGGAGCCTGTGAATATGACCTTGTTTGGAAGCCAGGTCTTTGCAGATGTGATCAAGTGAAGATGAGGTCATTAGGGTAGATCCCTAATCCAGTACGACTGGTGTCCTCAGAAGACTAGAGGACACACAGAATCAGGGACACTTAAAGAGGAGAACGTCATGTGATGATGGCCGCAGAGATGGGGGTGATGTGTGCTGAGGGGCACCATGGAGTGGCAGCAGCACCAGAAGCAAAGGTGTGAGCATGAGTTCCCCCAGAGCCTTCCCAGGAGTCACAGCCCCGTTGACGTGTTCATTTCTGACTTCTGTCTTCCAAAACTGTGAAAGAATAGATTTCTAGTGTCTCAAGCCACCTGGTTTGTGATCCTTGGTGATAGCAGCCCTACTTTGCATCCTCTTTTTAACTATAGTCACTCTTTTCATGGATCTTATCCTCTTTCTTGGCTTTAAATGATCACCCATAGTCTGACAATTCTCAAATTGATATCCATAGTGCGAACCTCTCCCCTGGATTCCAGACTCACATGTTCTACTGCCAATTCATTGTTTCCATGGGATTTTTTTTTTTTCCTTTTTTTTAAAAAAACTTTGAGATGGAGTCTTTCTCTGTTGCTCAGGCTAGAGTGCAGTGGCATGATCTTGGCTCACTGCAGCCTCCACCTCCTGAGTCCAGGTGATTCTCCTGCCTCAGCCTCCCAAGTAGCTGGGACTACAGATGCCCACCATCATGCCCAGCTAATTTTTGTATTTTTAGTAGAGATGGGGGTTTCACCATGTTGGACAGGCTGGTCTTGAACTCCTGACCTCAAGTGATTTGACTGCCTCGGCCTCCCAAAGTGCTGGGATTACAGGTGTGTGCCACTGCGCCCAGCACCCATGGGATTTTAAATAGGTATCTCAAGCTTAGCACACCCAGGGCTGACCTCCTGCCTCTTCTTCTCCAAACCTGCTATCTCTATGGTATTTCCAGCAGCAGTTCTGTCCTTGCAGGTGTTTAGGCCAGAAATCATGGGCTGTTTTTTGAGCCCCTGTTTTCTCTAACATCTCAAATATGACTTGTTAGCAAATCTTGTAGCCTGTACTTCAGAGTATACTGTGAATCCTATCCTTTCTCACCATGTCTGCTGCACGCTGGTCCAGGCTGTAGTCTCACTCCTGGTTCATTTAGGTGACTTTGTAACTAGTTTCTCTGCTTGTTTGTTCCCCTTCAGGCTCTTCTCAACACAGGAGTCGGAGTGGGGTGATCCTGCTCCAACAGAGGTAGGACATCCCACGCCCTTCCCCAGAACCTTCTGGGGCTCCCTGTTGCTCCTCGAGTGAATGTCCAGTCCTCACTGTGGCCTTTGAGGCCCTTGCAGTGTGAACCATGGCTCTTGCCACCCCCTCTGCCTCTCTGGCCCCGGCATTCCACCTTCTCCCCGCACTCACTCTGCTCAAATGCTCTGCCCTGATCAGGCTCTTTCACCACTCCGGGAGGCTCTGCACTTGCTGGAATCCCTTTATAAATAAATATAAATGACATAGTTCTGTGGATTTTGTCCCAGCGTCCTCCTTCACTTGCTCCAGGCCTTTCCTTAACTGTCACCTTTTCAGCAGGTCCTCCATCTGTCTGATCTGAAGTGGCCTCCCTCTCTTCTCTGTCTTCTTGTCCCTCCTTTGTATGTGTTACTCTCTAACATTCTATGTATTGTGTTTACTGTTTTTTAACTTTTTTTTGAGACTGAATCTCACTCTATCACCCAGGCTGGAGTGCAGTGGCGCGATCTTGGCTCACTGCAACCTCCGCCTCCTGGGTTCAAGTGATTCTTGTGCCTCAGCCTCCCAAGTAGACAGGATTACAGGCACCCACCATGACGCATGGCTAATTTTTTGAATTTTTAGTAGAGATGGGGTTTCATCATGTTGGCCAGGCTGATCTTAAACTCCTGACCTCGAGTGATCCGCCCGCCTCAGCCTCCCAAAGTGCTGGGATTACAGGCGTGAGCCACTGCGCCCGACCTTTTTTAACTTTCTGACTCGCACACTGTAGCATTAACCCTCCAGAGACAGGAATTTTGATCCCTTTGATCATTGCTCCGTCCTCAGAACCTGTGAGACTGCCTGCCATATGGCAGACATCCCGTAATGTTTGTTGAATGGATGACAGAGGGAATGGGTTGCCAGTGTATGGCCAATTGAATT